GGCGATTCAGACGAACCTGATTTGGCAACCCAAGTTTTGCAGTTTATATTCCTAAGTGATTGCGGCTTGCGTTTTCCCATTGCACAGTATCCTTCTGGGAATTGCACACCTAGTGATCTTTACTTTCTTTTCTGGGAGGGAGTTCTAAGGATGCAAGAATATGGTTTTATGTAAGCGAATACAACTATAGTGATTAAATTGAGATATAGCTAATATAAAATATGACTATAACAATTAAAATATAATTCAGTCGCTCATCAATCGGGTTTTCATTCCTTTTCCCATCCACATCATAATGTCATGCATTGACGACATGACCGAACATTGTAATAGAAATTTTCCTTTTCATGTTTTTTTGCTGGCAAGATAAATACATTTAATATATGCATGTGTTCATTCATTTTTTAAACTGTAGTATATACTGGTGTGTCTTGGATGGTGCTGAATGCAATCGCCAATTTGTTAAAATGCATTTCAAGGGAAAAGATTATGTGGAACAGAATTTCATGACATGTAATGTCTACACTGGACGTCCTATGATATTTATAATGGATCCTAAGGTACTGACTATGCATACATATTATGATTGTGATATACCGTCCGTTTTCGTAAACTTGTTCCAAGTCTGTCTGTTTTAATACCGTTTTCATACCGTTCTCATATTGTTATCCGTTCACAATGGAATAGAGAAAAATATTATAATTCCCTCAAACAATACGAAAATTTGCGCGCTTAATAAACGGGTAATAGTGTTTTATTAAGTTTAAATAACAAGTGCACAGCCCGAGCGCATGGTATTATAGACCCAATTAAAACGTCCTATATGATCGAATTAGAGATATTTTATAAAGAATACTAATAAAAATAGAGTACTCATATATAGAGTACTAATGAATATGAGTTTTATCAGGTATAAAGACATGCACTTTAATTTATGTTACATATATAATGGTTAACATGATTTGCCATAAATCATATGAATTAATAAATAATTATTTTTGAAAGTATAAATTGTAATTTGTGCTGAGTAAATTCTTTACCACCTCGTTAAAACAATAAAATATGTATCACATTAAGGTGAGTGTTAGACAAACAACGATACATGATACATGTTATGAATAAGTGATAATAGTTATGATTTTCTTTTATTTTAACCCAACACCATAAAATTGTTCAACTAACTAAAAACTAGATTACATAAATATTTAAAGCACAAATCACGTGATCAATCAATGTTCCCCTAGCTATGTACAAACAAAACAGTTAATTATAAAATACTTGAGTTCATGCAATTATAAATGTCAGTCTACTTATCTAATCAATCCAGATGTCTCTAAAACAGAAATCTTGCAATTCTTAATTATATTTTTACCACAGTATCTGACACTGCCCGAGGTTTCTTCATTATTTTTGATGAGAAACTAAATTAATTCTATTTAAGATACTAAGTCACTATATTTAATCATAATCTCTTGACTTTTGTTTATATAAATGCATATAATATTATTAGTTCTGCATGTTCTATATTCTGGTTATATGTTCAAGTCTCAACTGGCTTCGAGTTGACTTCAATAGGTATTAATTGTTGAATTGTCCGTCTCAACAATGTTGGTCGCGTTTTACTTCCAGCAACCTTTACAATTGCCGCTCTAACCTTACCGTCTCTAACCGTTAACAGCTCCTCTACTTTACCGAGTTTCCAAAAAGCTCTGTTTGTTGAATCGTTCTTTAAAATGACTATATCGCCTTTCGAGATATTTGTTACCGACCTTTCTCGCTGTTGTCTTTGGATTGAATGTTCTCGCAGTTCTGTGAGATACTCGGTTTTCCATCGCTTCGTTAAACTTTGCAACAATAACTTCTGATGACGTCCACGCTTCGTTAGGGTTTGATAAGCACTCAAAATTTCGTGATGGTTCGAATTTGGATTTGCCGTAATTTTTCGTCCGTAAATAAGATCAGAAGGGATCAAGGCATACGAAATAGACTCTTGGTCGTCATACACGTATGTAATTGATCTTGCGTTAATCACACCTTCGATTTCTACCAAAATTGTACGCAACTGTTCGAAATTCAACGTAGATCTCCCCAGTATTTTCTTGAGTGGTCGTTTCACGCTACGGACAAGACGCTCCCAGTAACCACCCCACCAAGGGCTTTCTCTGCTATAAAACTCCACGTAATTCTTCGGTTAACTAGATAAGCCCAAACTTCTTCTACCCGAGTAATTTTATTTTTGCATTATCTGAATTCAATGTTGCTGGCAGACCTCTACGACTCGCAAATCGTCTAAATGCTAATAAAAACGCTTCGGTACTTAATCCGCGCGAGTAAGTTCCAAATGTACCGCTCTTGTAGCTGCACATGTGAGTAATAAGATGTAAACATTTAACGTTTCATTACCCTTTGATAGCTCGTCTACAACGTACGAAATCAAGCCCAACATGAGTAAATGGCGGTGCTTCGGACACTCTTTCACTCGGAAGATCGGCAAATGAAACACTATTGTACGGAACTCCTTCGAACTTACGACATACTCTACAACTTCGAATCAATTTTTTAACAGATTCGCGACCACGAATTATCCAAAATCTTTCTCGCAAATTCGTAAGGGTATCTTTAATTCCGTTGTGTTTAACCAAGCAATGTGACTGTTGAATAATCAAACGAACAAATTCGTGTTTCGAGGGCAATAGAATAGGATTTCTCACATTTTTTGGCAACGGAGCATTGTTAATTCTACCCTTATACAACGAATGACTCCATTTTCATCAAAATAAAGTCCAAATTGTGCGACATAAATTGGAGGCGATAAGTATTCATTGCTAGCACGATCACGCGACAGAAATTCAATCTCTTCGATAAAAGAACGGCATATTGTAAACACTGGACTGGACTTTGGACTTTCGATTTTGAAATTATATTATTTTTAGATTTTCGTATAATTATATTAAAATCTAAACAGGGAACGAAAATTTGCTGCTGAAAAGCGTGCTACACTGCATGCACATGCATGATATAATATACAAGGTAAAAAGTACTCAGTATCGGTTATATAGGTATACCAGCAGTGCAATTTCATACGGATGTAGCCTGTAGGATAGCAGGATTATCCAATATTTTGGGATTTAATATTTAAATTTTATATAATATTTGTATTTATAGTATGCATAGTACAGTTTATACTGCAGAACTTCTTCCTTATCATATAGATAATAGATTAATTGTCAGAAACAATTGTGACAAATTAAGGTGCTCGGCAAATACAAAATATTAACTATACAAGTGATTATTATTGCGCCTATTGAGTAATGTATTATGTATCTATTGACTGTTCATCTTTGCAAAATAGTTTATAATAGTACTGTATTGTGTAATTGTTTACTCCATTACACAGTAACTTTGAAAGACATTTTAGTTATATATAAGCTATCCTTATCACTAAGACCGCTAAGTGCTTCAGTTATTATTAATAAGTGTTAATAGATGGACAGGAATATTCGAACGGAAATTTACACACTTTTTAAGACCTACTCAGTTGTGTGTGAGAAGGCAAAAATCTATGTCTATATGTGCTTCATGTAGTCTAGCAACTATTTGCCACGTTTACTGTAATACTACCACTTGCAAGTGATGAACCAGGCGGGAATCGGAATCGTAGTTAGGACTTAAAGATTAATGCCCAGCCGCATAACGTACGCAAAAGAGCCATATATAGACAATAATATAGACATAAATATATACATAAAGTAATACCATAGATTATCATAAAGTAATCAGTACTACCAATTAATAATGTATCATACATT